AAAAAAAACAACCACTAAACCCAGAGAAAGGACAGTTAGCTGTAGTCTCTGTGCCACCAAAATCTACCATTGACCTTGGGACCTTCCTTGGGTTCATCCTAATTTAAGGTTTGGTGGCAAAAGTATTTCTGCAGGCTGCCTTGCTGCACTAGAGCCTAAACCCATGGCAGAGGCGAGAGAGAAGTGAGAGTTATATCAACTTTTGGAAATGGTTTACAAATGTGTGGCCACCTGGTACACTGCCAGCTCACTGGGGGTGCAGAAGAACGGGGCACTGTCCTGCTAGGAAAGACAATGTCAGTCTTATTTATGTGCTTCTGGAGTCTACTGATGGGACCAGGAGTACCGTGAGGAGCACAGGGAGGCTGGCAATGTGGTGGACATCACCTGAGGTTGTCCTTGTTCTGGAGGATGCCACCCATCAGGTGTCCCTGGAACAAAGCAGCTGTTCAGAAAGGCAGCAGGCAGACCAGAAAAAGATGCTGCATTGCTGCTAATGGGGCTGGTTCTTTAAAGCCAGTGTGGAATTGCAAGGGTACCACAAGCGTGAGGTGCCCTGCCAAGGGAGCTGCATTGTTGTGCTGGCTTCTTTCCAAAACAGAGCTTAATCTTTGGCTTTCCTTCTCAATTTGTTTGTTCTCCTTTTTTCCTACCTTTGTTTTCCATTTTTAGACCTTGTGGATCAGCATACTGTGGATTACAGAACACCTAGTTCTACAGCAGCATGCAAAAGGAGGCACAGCATCATGTGCCTTAAATTACTTATTTCTGCAGTATGGATGTATTGTGACTTGGTATCATCTCATGCCAGTGCAGTGCTAAGAATCTATTGAATCTGTGAGCCAAATATGTGATTTAAGATCTCACACTTGCTTTGGATTTGCCACAAGAGCAACGCTGTTCAAGCCCATGAGGTGCCCACACCCTGGCTCTGGAGAAGCAGCACACAGCAATCAGGGTCAACAGAGGGACAGGAGTTAATGCTGTGTCAGGGAGGCGTGAACTGGATGTATGAAAGCTGGAGCTGTAGCTGTGAAAAATGTCTTTACAGGGAAAAGAACAGTGTGCTAACGTGTGGGGGAGGGAGGAAGTGAAAGTCCACAAAGCAGAGAAAGGGTAAACGAGCAAAACAACACCTTGTGAGGCCCCCAAGTTAGATAGGCACTGCTGCATGATGTTTTCCATCAAACAGCACTAACTACCAGGATTACAGCCTGGCTGGGGTTCTGCCTGCATCCATGTCATCCTGTCCCTAATATTCAGCACTGCTGACTCTGATCTATCGTTGCATCAGCCTTGACTATTCTTTCAAAGGCTGCTGGGTTCACAGCCAATCTCTCCTATTCTGTGTTTGTGTCAACATTGGTCTGCATCCACAAAATCTAGTGAGCAGATTGCTGTCACTTGCAGGCCCAGGGCATCTCCTTCCCTTTCCTTCACCTCTTTAGACATGACAAGGGGTCATGGTGGGGCGCCACATAAAACCCCTCAATAGGCAGGCACACGGTACCAGCATGTTCCTCCCTGCAAGCAAGGGCCAAGGGCAGCCCTAAAGCCAATATATTCAGCCAGCTGAGATGATCTTTGATGTGACAATGGGTCAATAGTGAACACAGGAGCAAATGAACAGGAAAAATACACCACAGTGAGTGCAGCAGGGAATGGCAGTGGGAGGACCTGGCAGATGCTCAGGGGCTGATTCAGAAGGGAGATGCAGCCCCACCCATGCTGTTGTGAGCAAACTTGCCCTGCACCTCACGACACTGCTTTCAAAATGGGTTTAATAACACATGTCAAAATGCCACCTGGTTCCCAGCAGGGAACCATGGGGGGGACACCAGTCACACCAGGGTGAGACAGCTCAAACTGACCTGCAACAAAATCCAAGTGCCCACAAGTTGCTATTGAGCAGAACAGGTATTTTGACCTAATGGCAGAAATTGCACCTCTCTGCAGGCACAGGAAATGATGAGGTGGGGTGGAATCCAAGGGGATAAGAAATGAGCATGAGAATAACAAACAATCACGACTGCTAAAAAAAACCCCCAAGAAACTAAGAAACAATTCTGCCTCACAGCACTGCTCCTTCCAGTTTCCTTTGCTGCTTCCCTTCTCAGCAGACCATCATTTTGGGGTTTATTTGATCACCACATTCAAGCTTGGGCTTAAATTGAAGTCCTGTTTCTCATCAATTGACTCATCGTGAGAAGATATCATCTTTCTTTTTTTAAATTTGGACTATTTTTAGGGGCTACATAGGGGCTAAAATGCCTTATCCTTAAGGATCTGTGTTTTCTATGCATATGGTGCTTCTACAGATTTCAGTGAATTGTAATTTTGTTAGGCTTGGCTTGGGGTAATAAATGCCTTGCATTTTGTCTGTGCTTAACTACCAAGAGATGTTCTTTTTTTCACTCTATTTTAATGAAGAGTATTTGGTAATATCTGTGGGGTTGGAGAGATGTTTTTAAATTAGAAAACAACAATTAAACAAGAAGTACACAGAAAAGTGCTGCAGTGTATTTATAGTAATTCTAAGATGCAACATTTCAGTCTAATATTTCCACTTATTTTACATTTTAACTTCTATTTATGCTTTTGTTCATACACTCTGGCTTGTTTCACCTCATGTGGGAGCAACACAGAGGAGAGGAAGTCCACAAGCCAGATAAACTGTAATTACCACAGGTTGGTTTCGTCAGAGCTACGCAAAGCATGGAGTGCACGGGCCCGCCCTGCCTCTCTAACAGCTCATCACATCTACCCCACGTCTCTGCTAACCTGCACATGGGCATGGAAATACCCCCTTTGGTGTGACAAATAAGCTTCATGCAGTGAATCAATTTTGAAAAATTATCTACAGTGAATGGGAAGTTTTCCCTATTATCTTAGTAGTAGAAATCTCAGCTATGGGCGCTTATATTCTTCTTTCACTGTGGTGTTTATTTTTTTTTTCCTAACAGTCTCTTTGGAATGATCTCAATTGCAAAGCCATGATTTGGGCATACAGATACAGATGCTGTGACCAGGATCTAAAGCACAAAGGGACAGAAGACAGAGCAGAAAGAAAAACAGCCACAGTCCCCTGTCCTGCAAGATCTATCCCTCGTTCTTCTAAAAGCAGAAAAAGCTTCCAAGACCAGCCAGAGCTCAGCATGTGCTTGGGAGAGCCACTTTATTTGAAATTCTTGTCTAGCCAGATGTATAGCAACACCATAGTATGGGAACATGACCCTTGAAAAACCCTCTCCAGTTTCACATATAAGGCCAGCAGTCCTTAAAAATAGCATCAGCCAGGACAGAACCTACTTTTTCACTTGCCAGTCTCCCGCCTGATGAAAGCAAAACTTCATTCTGAAAGCCACCTGCTTGCAAGCCCAGGACACAAAAAGCCGCCCTCTCCACACCACCCCACAAGCCCATGCACATATGCACTTTGAGTGGTTTTTTTTTTTTATAGTTGCCTATTTCCATAAAGTTCAGAACCCAGTGACAAGATCATTTTAATGCAGATCAATTTCAAAGCTATCAGTTTAATGCAGAAGACATAGTTGCACAGAGGAATATTAGGAAGATTTTTTTAAAGGAGAACGTTAGGAAATTCATTTTTTATCACAGGCTTATATTCGACTATCTTAGATGTTGTGAGTGACTTACTGATATCAGAAATCTACTATACAGCTCCCTCAACTGCTAACATGCTCTAGGCAAGACTCATGATAATGGCCTAAAACCTTCGCTGTACTTCTTTACAGGATTTTTTTGTTGTTGTTGCATTTTCCTATCTTGGATCAGAACAATTCAATCATTCAGCCTAAGCTCTGCAAAACATCAAGCTAACACCTAATAGTTCCTCTGGTAGGTATATTATGTTTGCTGTTTTGCCCCGGACACAGAAGTGATCAAGATGCCAGGTTTGGAAGCTACAACAATTACTCAACGAGTGGCAGAATGTCATCTCTAAGCAGAGATGCTGCCTGTATTTCACCTTTTCCTAACAGGTGCATAATCTGAGCATGCACAACGATTCAGCCTCCCTAAGGCTGAATCGAACAAAGAGGTCCGTATAAAATAAAGAGCTCATTTATGCCTCCTTACAGGGCCTGCCTACCTCTGTATTCATGCAAGTCAGTAACCCAAATCACTTGTGCAGTGGATACAGCCTGTAAACTTCCTCTACGATCCTTGCAAAACGTGTCCTAACCAGATCTACTGCACTTTAAACTTGAATAAAATTCTTCTCATCGCAGGCTGTTTCCTTCTACTTTACTTAACCCTTCAAGCCTACACACGGGCCCTCTCTGTGAAGGGCAGCCAGAACAGGATCCCCTCCTCTCCTCGGCCTCCCGAGAGCCTCTCCGAGCCGTTTCTCGGGATCCCGGCGAGCAGCGCTATTTCGGGCCGCGCCCGTGCGCCAAGCACACAGGAATGCGGCTGGGAGCCCGAAGGCAGCGCTGCGCATCCGCGGGGGCTGCGGCACCGCCACCGGGGCTCCGCCCGGGCTGCGCTCCCGGGAACCGGGCGGGGCGAGCCTGCCTGTCCTGGCTGATCCCGGTGCGCCCCAGGACCGGACCCCGCCCCTGCCCGCAGCAGCACAGGAGGGTCCCGAGGGTCCCAAAGCCGGGCTTGGCGGCCTCAGCCAGCCGGTCCGGGTGCTCGCGGTGGAGCCCCGCACGGTGCTCCGCCGCCGGGACGCGAACCCGCGGCCCCACAGCCCTGGCTCCCGCCGCCCCCCACGCCGGCGTTATGTAACGGCCGCGCGCCGCCATTGGCCAGCGCCGGCCGGGGCGCGCGGGCGCGGGGGCGGGTCCGGCGCGCGCGCACTGCCGGTCCCGCTCCCTCCTCCTCCTCCTCGTTCTCCTCCCGAGCAGCGGCGGCGGCGGCGGGGCCGCGCGGAGCCTCCACAGCGCTCGGCAGGGCCGCCCAGCCCGCATCCCGCACGGGTGAGCAGCGCCGCGGAAGCGGAGCCCAGGGGAGCGGGGTGGGGCGGGGGAAGGGGAGCAGGCCTGGCCCAGGGGAAGGGAGGCGGCCCGGCCCGGCCTGCGCGCCACTCGCGGGCCGCCGCTCCCGGCTGCGGCCTCCGTCCGTCTGTCTTTCCGTGGTCGCTTCCCTCCCGCTACGCACGTGGTGGGGCTGCGGCCGCCCCTGCCCCGCCGGGCCCGCCCGAGGCCCGTGGCCGCCCCCGGTCCCTGCGCGCCGCAGGCCGGGCCCGGCCGGGGCGTCCCTGGCGGAGCGGGCGCCCGAGCCCTCGCTCCCGGCCGGGGGGGCCGCGGTGCTCGAGCTGCCGTGTGCCTCTGGCAGTGACAGCGGAGACAGCTGTCGGTGTCCAGCTTTAGGACTTGAAACTCCGCTCGATTCTGGTGACTTACAAGGAAATGACCCCGCGTGAGGTATGGCTGTGCTGCGGGTTTCAGCCTCGCTTCCCGACGGTGCCCGTGCTGCTGCTGCTGCTATGATTTGGCAGTAAAAAATCCTGTTACGATTTGGCAGCAGATTTTTTCCATGTGTGCTGTTTCCTACGTGCTCGCGCGTTCTTTATTTGGAGACAGCCGGCTGGTCTGTTGGACTCTGTGAGGGCGTGCCTGATAGGGAAAACAACACTTACCTGCGTTGTGCAATTGAAATTAGTGATTTGGCTTTGTAGATGAACTGATCATTCTTTTAAACGAGCTTTGGGATTATTCGTTTTGTCACTTTCTTAGAATAATAGTAGACTAAACCTTACTTTTCTCTGTTTCAAGTGCATTAATGTAACTTGCAGTATTTAAACTCTCGGATTTTTGGTTTTGGACTTTGTGTCGTGGTTGATATTTTTGAGCAAATGTTTGTAGTCGCGTTTTCTTGTCTGTGACTTAACTAAAACCAGCAATTGCCAAGTACATGAAAGCTCAGTGTGGTTGGCTGTTGTAATGTAGTACTTATCAAAGCACTAAAATACAAAGTAATATGCAAACACTTTGTGAAAAGAATTCTTTTTTGTTACATCTGAGTATTTTCTGTCAGGAACCGTCTGACTCCTGGACGATTGCTGTAATGCTGATAAAATAGAAGTGAAATAAAACCTACTGTTCCTTCTTCTGTATGTAAAGCTATTGGAAATATATATTCTTTTTTAAATTTAAAGTGGGAATCCAGTGTTCTGATTGAGCCATGCTGTATATAAACAGCATGAGGCCCTGGGTGGGGTGTTCTGAAGTAGTTGTAGCATCCAGTGGAACATAGACTGGCACTTTTAGTCTTACTGACATTGACTTTTGTACCTTATGGAAACTGTTGGACACCACATGTATTTCTATCTGCTTGTTAATGGAATTGTTGTTGTGTTCCATTTTATTAGCTGTATGGACTTCTGAACTTTGTTTTAGAGAAACTGGTGGGGGAAGAGGAGGGAACACTGAAGATGTAGTCTAATACTTCTGCAGAGGGTTACATGGCGGTGTTGGATGCCATGAAAGAGCTGGGCTGCAGCCTCAGAGGTGTCTCTCAATCCACAAGAGCTGTTCTGGGTCTCAGGGCCACTGTTTTGCTCCCATGTTAGGCACTTGTCCAAAAATTCCCACAATACTAGTGAATTTTCACATGTTGTTGATGTTTCATAGAAACTTAATTTTTGTAATGGTTTTTAAGGGCTTTTCATATGTATTTACTAAAGGTCGGTCAGTCACTGTTTGGGTAGGATTTTCTCTCCCACTGGGAGGCCACCTGTCCTGATGGGAGGGATTGCTGGGAGACAGACAGTCTGTCTGTCCCACAGGTACCAAACCTGGGGCAAATGCCCAGGGCACCCAGAGGGGCAGTGGCCAAGCAGCTGCCCTCCTGGGAGCACTGGCCTTTACTGGTTATCCTGAGAACAATGGGCTTGGCTAGCTGTGCTGTGCTTGGGCAGGGCTGTGCTTCTGAGAGAGCCGCACAACTGAACCGTGCGTGGGCCGTGAGGGACTGGGAGAGACACAATAGCAGAAATTGGGCTGCTGGCTTATATAACCACATGCTGAATCCTGTTCTCTTGGTGTGCCCAAATCCTGTCGGGTGTCTGCTCTGGGGGTGGGGTAAAGACTGAATTGGGTGTCCTGGTGGCAGTGTGCAGGTGGAGTGCACTGCTGTGGAATGTGATGTCTTGATGCTCCCTGAATTGTGACACTTTTGTCTCATTTTGTCTTCTGGTGGACCTTGTAATGGCATATGGCAATAGCATTTACTTGCTTTATGCTCCTGTGTTAGATATAGTAATGGCTTCTGATGGGGGCAGTCTTTTTTTTTTTTTTTCAAGAAATTGTATGCACATAAATGTGGCTGAAAAGCCACCTGTAAAAATCATCTTCAATAAAGATGAGTGACCTATTGTTCTTGGAGTTCCCAATTTCAAAGCAGCTCACAAGCACCTAAAACAAAAGACAATAACACACCTTGGGCAATACTTTGATTTGCCTTTCTTGAAACTTGTTTCAAGTTCCAGAGGTAAAGGTTGAGTCTTAATAAACCACAAACAACAAAACCCTTGAATTTTTCAGTACCTTTTGAAAAAAAGAATAAGTTTCTATTAACTGTAAAGGAAACTTTTCATTATTCTGACTATTGAAAACACTTTTCAAAAGTAGAGCTTGAATCTTAGTAGAGGAAGACACCTTAGAATGGCCTAATAATTCTGATGTTTATTTTAAGAATGATACTGAACCCACAGGCTTTACATAGCAAAGAGCTTGAACAGATGTCTGTTGTGTTTGAGTTATGGGAGTTGTAGGCCTTGTGGACAGAGCAGATGACTGCATTGTGCTCATGGTTACAGCTCTTCAGTCAGATAGCAGCAGCAGTTTCTCATGTTTGTAGACTAAATGTCTTCTTTTTGTTTGTAGATATGGCTCGTGGACAGCAGAAGATTCAGTCGCAGCAGAAAAATGCCAAAAAGCAAGCTGAGCAAAAAAAGAAACAAGGACATGATCAGAAGGCTGCAGCCAAGGCTGCCTTGATATATACCTGCACTGTCTGTAGGGTAAGAGGAACTGAAGTCAAAATAGTCTTGTAGGGAGAGGTCTGTCTCCCTGCCTAGAACAGGATTTTTAGATTTTATAGTGGAAACTAAAATACTTAAGTGGTTGGCTAGCTTGTTGCTGTAAGAAGAGTTTGCATCTGTTATGTGACTTGCTTACAGATTACTGAGCCCTACTGGTAATTGAGATAGAAAATCTGAGAGGCTGTGTTCAGGTCTGGTTTGGGTGGTTATTTTGCCTTTTGTATTACAGTGGTCTGCATATGCTCTTAGTATGAGATAGAACATGTAAAAAGTGTGCAGTCAATTCTTGTTTAGTCTCTATGTGGAAACATATTTTCTCTGTGATGGAGTTGACCTGTCTTGGAATCAGTGGTAATGGATGTTGCTGTAGAAAGGAGAAGCGGTCGTGCCAAAAGCTTTAATGTAAGCTTGAGACACAGTAACTTTTGCTAGAACAACTTACTTGACAAGAATAAAGAAATTTGAGTACTAATCAGATTATTCTTTTCCTTCTGGCTGATTTTCCTAAATGCTTCTTTTGGAGCTGAAGGATGAACTTGCTATTTTCACTTCAATAGTCAGTCTCAGAATAGATCTGCCACTTCAAATGTCTTAGATAGGATTCCAAATTGAGGGTTGCTTACTTAAGTACTTGTAACCAGCTCCTCTTGTTGTGAAATCAGGCTGTAGTACCAATCAGTTTGGGCAGTCAATGTCTGCAACTGTGTCATAGCAAAAGTCTGAGATTGCTTGTGCCAAGTAGAGACTCAGTTCATGCCCTATAACTTCTTGGCCCATTGGTAAAGTAAAGAAATGGCTTTCATACAGATTTGATTCTGTAAAGGATAAATGTTTGTCTTTAAGGTGTTGAAAAAGAAAATGGTGAGGAGGGAGGTTTTCCACCAGGCCGGCCTGTGAAGTGCAAGATGTGCAGGAAGATACCTAGCCAGACTAACACCATTGATGACCATGCCAAAGCAAGTGTGATTGTAGTGCATGAAAGCACCTCTGAAAATAGGCAGTTAAATACTCCATCTTACCCTGCAGCTAAATTAGTGGTGCTTCTGGCACTATAGCAGTGTCATCAAGGAGGGAGTTGGCTTCTGGGGAAAGAAAATAAAACATAGCGGGGATTAGGTTTTGTAGTGTTCTTTAACTCTTGTACTGTGCATAAAGTTTAATGTCTCTCTTTAATCAGACTCAAATGCCGGATCCCAAGACCTTCAAACAGCACTTTGAAAGCAAGCATCCTAAGACTCCACTTCCTCCAGAATTGGCTGATGTTCAGGCATAAAGTTGTCTACAGGTCATTACCTTAATTTTTAATTGATTGTCTGAGAAAGATGTATTACAAATTGGTTTTTTTACCACCAGCAACTGTGACTTTAAACTTGCTTCAATTCTTTTAATATGAAAACTACTGTAGGTTATAGTTATACCCCTGAACTGTTAAAAAGAGAAGAAAGAAGCAAGCTAGTTCTTACATGGGTGAAATGGCTGTGGCATTTCACTGTGCCCAGAGGTTGTTTTAAAAGGGATTAATGTTATTTCAAATGGTCATTCTTAGGAATATTTCATTATTTAGTTCTTGCTTTGAAATGTTTGTTTTGCTTTGAACAAAATACATAAGTACAATTGATCTGTTACTATAAAACATGTAATGTAAACAGTTGTTTAGTATATTTCCAACAATTGAGCCTTTTTGTTCCTGAAGCTATGCAAGTGAATGCAGAAAAATCTGAATTTCTGTGTTGACTGTAGAAGAGATTTCCCAGTAGGCAGTTGTTAGGCTGTAACTGAAAGTGGTTATAATAAAAGGCTGAAATAAGGTAAAAAGCAGTAGTATGGTATTTCATTCATCAGAGATAAGCAGCATTGTGTAATGGTTCAGCTTAACCGAGTTGTTCTTGTTTTTTATAGGTGAAGTCATGACACCTATTGACTCTTCTACTGTCAGACCTTACATAACAAACCTGCAGCTGCTTTTCTAAAACTGTTGATCAGCAAAAACGAAGGGGCTACAGAAACATTCATATTTTTATGCTGTTCCCTCTTGGGCTTCATGCAAAGACAATTCTGTGTAAATGTACAGTTGTGCCCTATTTGGAAATCCTAAAAAATCAGTCCATACTTGTTATAAAAAATTTTTTACAATTGTAATTATATTGATGTTCATATTGTGTAAAATAACTCACTTAATAAAGTAGTACTTTGATTTTACAATATCACAGATTAACTCCTTGTAGAAATTCTGTTTCACCTTTCTGCATTATCTGCCTTATAAAATAATAAAAAGTACAAAAGTGGAATTTTCCCCATCCTGCCAAAACATGAGCAGTATCATTCCACTGCAAGTAATGTACATTACAGTAAATTAATCTTAAAGTGGAGAGGGAAGCTGCTCAGATTTACTGTCTAGTGTGCTGCCTGCTTGAGCCCAGCCACTAGTGGTCAAGCTGACAGCTCAAGGTGCAACACACCCCTGAGCAGCTGCATGAGAATCATGAGACTTCCTTCTACGTTTTTGTCCTGTGTGCTGGAGTCTTAAGTACTGCAAGCCATTTCAGATGGGATTCCTTTACTGTGAGGGATCATGTTCCTTGAAGTCATGCACTGGAGGAGCTCTAGTTATGCTTGTTATCCTTTCTATTTAGGTAGATGGCTGAGGAAGCTTGAGAGGTGGCACGATTGAAAAATGCTTGCCAAATAACAGGTTAAAGCAACTCTGCTCTTAGTTGAAAACTGGATTTTAAAATATTTTTAGTGATATTTTGAGCAGTCAACCACACATGTTCCCCCTCAAATGTGTCTGGTTATTTCTCTCTTGAAGGAATATGTAAAATAGCCAGCCATTAATAACCTTCCTTCACAACCAGCTTAAAATAAGCCTGTTGGAAAAGAGCCAAAGTAACTAAAATAATATGGCTACTTAAAGAAATCGGATGTGATTAAAGTTGCAATGACAAGAAAAAGCTGGATAATAACTCTGGCCCAAGACCATTTGAGCAGATAAACATAATTACCACTAAAGTGTTCTGGGCTGTGTTATAATCCCAGATGTACAGCACAAAAGTAGTGGAGAAACATGGGAATTGTGCTGGAAGGTCTACTATACAAAATCCCATCTTAGGCATTTTGGAGGGAGCTTAAGAGCTTTAGTTTTTACTCTGCAGTTAGAAGCAGTACTAGAATTGCTGTGATGTGCAGAGTTAACAATGGATGTAAAAATTCCAGCAGTCCAAGTAACCCTTGCTATGCAGCAGGACTATACATCTGACCTTCAAATGGCTTCCTAAAATCTAGGACCATAGTCTCAAAGACTCATTCACTTAAAAGAATGCACTTGGTATTTTATTATATAAAGTCAAAACCTTTGTCTTTGTCCACTCATTTTCTCTTTATTGAACTACTTCTGTGAGACTAGCTTCCTGTCCTCTTTGCTGTGACAGTATCTCTGTAAATACTTACTTTGGCATAAAGTTTCTCTGTATTATAGTCACTCTGGGATAACCTGTATACCACTTAACTTTTATAGATAATGTTATTCTCCTCAGCGTAATCCACTACTGCACTTGTACACCTGACATCAGAATGTAACAATTCATTTTTTTTTCTTTAATGTTATCAATACATACATCCTGATAAACTGGCTCCACAAGGCAAGAAATCTGCTTTCAACCTATGTGCTGTATGGGGAAGAGGTACTTCAATGTTCTAATGCTGTAGTTTGTCTAAAAATACGCTGAGTAGAAATGGAAAAGATGTTTCTTGCACTGATTGGTATTTGAGAAAATGGTTTTACTCTGGAAAATGTTTGGGGATGCATCCCTAAAGCTTGGGCCTGAGGTGAAGTAAATGTTCTATTCCTTCAGTTCAGATTGTGTAGCATTAAATAAAAGACTTGTTTCATAAACAATCTCTGTTAATGAGCACTGAAGAGCTGGAAAGCTGCATCATTAGTGGGATGGTTACGTTCAGTTAGAATTGTATTTTCAAAACTCCTATGATGCTCAAGTTGAAAATGCCCTCTGAAATGATGGGGTTTATATGTTGGAAGCCAAGGGTGATCCTCAGTTCAGTAAGATCCCCAGCTGCAATAACTGTCATCTTAATCATAGAAGTAAATGAAAGCTGTGACTGAATTGTTATAAAGGCTGTACTAAATGTGGCAATAGCCCTCAGTCAGAGTATCTGCAATACTCATTGTACCTAAAAGATCAGAGGAAGGACTAGTTCTCCATCATCTCTTCCTGATCTGAAAGACAGCACACCCTAGTACCTGGCTAAAGACACAGTTGTGCATTGTAATGTGTCTGATTAAAGAGAATTAAAACTATAAACCATAAAATGTCATATTTCCTGCCTGCTTTTGCTGCACCTAGAAAATTAATTTCCTGGCTGTGACAGCCATGTAACTTGAAGCTATCTAACTGTGTAAGAAAGCAAAATAGACATGGAACGTTTCCTGTATTCCCTTGAGAAAGATGAATTTCTGTGCAGGGTCAGCATTCAGGTGAAGGGCTCTTACTGTGTCAGTGTGGACATCAGCTGTCATGGATACTTGTGGAGCAGCTTTAAGAGGGGTTTTGGATTTTCAGAAGCCTTCATCTTCTGGGAATCTCTTTAGGCAGCATCTAAATTGCATTTTAGATTAGGCTTAAAATATTCTGAAAAAAATCTCAGAGAGTAAAAAGTTAGCAGGTATGGTTATGATGAGGCCATCATCATGGGGACTACTGAGTAATCAAGAACAGTTTTTCAATTTTTGTAACTCAGGCTTATTTCTGTGCCTCTGCTTTTACCTATCTCAGGGCTTCTATTTTCTTACTGTCAAAAAGCTGTGTGAAAAATCCAAGATAGAAGTTGCAGACAGTTGCCGTGTAGCCTTAGGGAAGCAGTTTATGCAGTGCTCTTGAAACATCCCTGGACACCATCCCCTGTGGTTATTTGCTGAAAACACTTCTGCTCAAGTAAGTAAAGTTACTGACCACGGGCTGTTTGCAAACTACATAGCAATGAAGGAATTTGTGGCATTTCTATAAACTATACTGATTCATTTTCCCATCTTGATAAGAAGAGCTAATAGGTGGAATGTCTTATCATCAGGTAGTGGGTAGGCTTTCCCATTTTCACAGAAACAAGTTGGGAATTGCTGGGCTTTACTAGAAACGTGATCCTCCAGGGTCTGACAAGTAAATTTGGTTAATCCTATAGGAGCCATAAGCAAAGTAAAGGTCAGTTTGTGTTTCTGTCTACCCAGCCACTTTCTGCTGTGTGTAATTTGGGGGCCTTTGATTTGCCTATTTAGAACCTTACAGGTTTTGGAGTGGATTTTGAATTCAGTTCCAGATCTCCCTTTCACTGCTATTCAGTGTGATTTTGCTCTAGTCCAGACAGTGGGAGGGTGTCAAGTGGTGTCTTGTATTTTTCTGTACGTTTTTAAAATTATTTTGAAATCTTTTAATACATTGTCTGTTGTGTTACAGGTTTTGTATAGATAAGGCACAACAGTGGCTCGCTGAAGGAGTTATCTTGGGAACTTTTAAAGAAAAGTAGATTGGGTTATATGTATGTTTTATAATTCTCTTATGTAGCATTTCACACTGGGGTTCCTGGGAAAGGAGGAATCTGTAGTTGTCCCAACACAGTTATCTAACAGTTCTCAGCTTTTATAGGAAATATGACACAGCTCTCCTCTGAGAACTACTGTCCATTAGATACATAAAGCCAAGGTCCATGCAGCACTTTGATGGCATGGCACACAAATTTTTGTGTTCCTTCTTTGTAGCTGTGACAATCATTGTGCAAAGCGTAACTGAAAGCTGGAGCTCTTTCAGAGGACTATGGATTAAGGGAAATCTCAGGAATATATCTAGTCCATCTCCCTACTCTGAGATTGGACAAAATCTGCCCAGACAAACCACAAAATGTTCCTCTAACCCTTAAAAGCTTCCAGTGAAAAGGATCCCACGATCCCAGACCTTGGAAGCAGCATGGATCACTGCTGTGACCAGTGCTGAAGTGGACAGTTACCACAACAAGAGTTTATCCCTGCCAGTGAAGTCAATTGCTTACTGTTCTTATTGGCAATAGATATAATGAATAGTGCCTTTATTTTCAACATTGCTACTGTGTTCTCCTAGTCTTCAGAGCAAACCCAGTTAATTGAATCACTCTTCATAGATCACAGTTTCTAAGTCTGGCAATTGTTGGTGCTCTGGATCCTCTACAGTTTGTGCTCTTGAATCATATGGCCCAAGATATGACCCAAAGTGCTGGCTGAGGCTAGTGCAGAGTAGCTGGAACAACTAAGGTCTGGCACTTGCATGCACTGGAATTACATTAGGCTTTCTGCAACAACATCACAGATTCATTTTGGTACCACTAATAATTTCCACTTTGTACCTCTATTTAGTGTCCACATACCTGCCTCTCAGGTTTAAAACTGTTTACCAAGTTCATCCAGGTGTGGTATCATGGAGGATATTGCAGATCCTCTTTTACTCTTCAGTCTGTATTGTTCATGAACACACTGATGGGATACATTGCAGGCAAAGCCTTGCAGGACTTCACTTGAGTATCTTGCTAGACTCCAGTAAGCCTTTGGTAATTCTTGAGAGCACTTTGTACTGCTGTGATTCTCTCTGTAGTCAGGATGGATTGGAGCCCTGTATCTGTGAGGACTTTGCAGACTGACAATGTCAAAGGCATTTATAACCACAGGGAGATGTGGATCTTGTGTGCCTGTGGCCACCAGGACAGTTTTCACAAAGAAATGAGAGGTAGTGAGGTATGGCACAGTTTGTTCCTGAAAAATCCATATTGTCTGGCTGTTGCTTGGTTACTTCTTCACATGCATTTACAAAGGGAATTCTATAAAAATTATCCTAGCCCTTTCCCAGGTTTAAGTTGAATGACAAGAGTCCCTTTATTTTTAAATTACTTTTGCTTGTCCCACTACTCTCTTGAGTTCTTCCCTGTGCTGTGTGAGTTCTCAGAGAGCAGCACTCATGGTCCCTAGTGACACGTCTGACTGCTGGAGCATCCTAGGATAAGAGTTATTAGCTGTTGTCAACTTGAATTCTGCCAAAGTCCTCTGACTACTTTAGCTTACTCTTTCAATTTCTTAACATGGTTTATTAACTTTTGAGTGAAGTCAAAAATGCTGTTGATTACTTATTTGTAAATCTTTTTTCTTTCCTTCTTCATCAGGTAATGGACCTATACTTAACTTTATCTTTCCTTAGATATTTGTAGTCTGTGTATCTACCTTTTAGAATCTCAGCTGTCTTTTTGGACTCTGAAAATGAAGGTGTTACTGTGTTGACTTTGGAGTCTTCTAAAACCCAGTCATTTGTATGTCTCTCAGGATCCACACTCTTCCATTTGTTCACTGTGGTGAACTCTTTGAAGTAATTTTTTTTGCATGGTTTGCCCACTGTTGAGCTATCAGAAGCTTTATATATTCCATCCTGATCTGTTCAAGGCCCCAAACATGCAAGAGCATTCTCATTAAAGTTTGAGTTCTGCTGAGTATTTACTTCCCTACAGGCTAGCAGTGAGAAGGATCAGGCTGGCCTGATAAATCTGAATGTGCAATAGTAGTTAATGTTGGATATAAAACTGCAGAGCACTAATTAGATTAAATGCTTGAGTGACTTTTCATCAGACATCATTCTGGCCTCTGGTTTTCTCTTCCTCTGGTTTTCAAGACTGTCCCTATACTTTAATCATTGCTGCCTCTCTTTTCCATATGGATGCCAATGTAATCCAACCCCTCACAAGAGCACATCATATCTGTCTCCTTATCCTTAGTTTACCAAGAGAAGAGTAATACCCAAGCTGCCTGTGTGTCTTTTTCAGTGCTTTGCAAAATTAAAGTATGCCAGGACAACAAATCCACGTTAATTGTCCAGCATAGGAGAGGTCTTAATTTTTAATTTCTTATTCCTGATATGCCTTCAAATTTCAGTGGCCATTACCTACTGATAGTTTTTACTTTCTTTTGGTACACATTTTCTTTAGCTGTTGATAATCTCTGCATATTTTTCTATGAAATGGTTGCTATGTTTATTTCCTGTGAACATTTGTGGATCCTTTGAAGAGGGAAAATGAAGTATTTCCAACCAGAAGAATAATAAAAGAATGATGTCTTCTTAAAAAAACCCACAAAAAGTCTAAAATGTTTGATTGTGTCCTCATGGTATTCAGAATTATTCTTATGGTCATTACTCACTTTTGTTACAGTAATGCTTAATGAAGTTGTATTTTCTGTTGGAGACACAACTCAGATTTTATATCACTATGGGCTGTATGCAGTAAGGGAACTGATCAGGATGTCAGTGGAGCTCCTTCTTCTTTCCACAAAAACTGAGGGAAAAATAATTTTTATTTCTGACTGGTTTTCTCTTGCTGCATTTTTATTTAGAAATAAATTTACATTTGTTATGACTTTACAAAAAATTGCTTAACCCTAAGAGATTTTTTAAGGGACATCTGCTGCTGTTAGCTCTTATCAGATCAGTGCTAGAAGAGAATATTCTTATTGAGGTCTAAGAAATAGTGTTTATTGAAGATCATGTTAAGTAAGGTTAAGAAACAGTAAACAGCTGCTTTTTGTTACTGTAGTAAATCATTCAAAGAATTTGCTGTTATGCATCTGAAAACAAGAGCTGTTAGCAGCTGAAAGAATGTGACACTGTCTGCACCATAACCACCAATAGCCAAGGAGGACAACTTCTCAGCTTCTGGGCTGACTTCTAAATGGACAAAGCCTGCCTGTATTTTTCTCAAACAATAATTTAATTCTGCATCACTGAAGTCAGTAGGAACTCAATTTTGTCATGTGCTAAATACTTGCATGTGCAGAAAGCTGCTAGCTTGAACACCTTTGTAAAATCAATGTCACATGTTACT